TGCAGCACTGTTGAACCCACCCCCCAGGGGTGCTTCGTGGGGAACACAGGAGGCGTCAGAGTTAAGGTGGGATATACACTGAATCAAATCCAGAAATAAAGGTCCAACAGCCACAGGGGTTCCTGATCGTCGATATGGAGGCAGCCTACCCCGTAATGGCCTTTGCTGGGGGGCTGGGCTGCAGGTGCTATGTAGGAACAGAAGTTGGGGACGGGGAACTCCCTTTGCAGCCCCTTTGCTCTGGCCCAGGGAAGCAGAAGACCAAAGCCAACCCCAGAACTCTTGCTCGGGGGAGGCGGCGTGGTAGTCGACTCGCCGCCAGCAGACAGGATTTGCTTCCTAGCAGCCACTGAAATTACTGTACGTCCTTTGGGAAAACAGACCCAGGGTTAACCCTGCAGCTGACGCGCGCTTCTTCTGCACCCCGCCATTTTTCTGGAAACCAGGCAGCCGGAGGGTGCTTGCCTGGCGGCAGTTCTCCCTCCCTTTTCCAGCACTTTCCTATGAATGCTCTTTGACTTCCCAGGGGAGCCCAGGGAAATTTTCAAAAGAACCCCCCCCCCAAAAAAAGCTTAAATACGTTGACCATAAAATCAAGCAGCCTTAAAAATACAAAACACAAAGCAAGATTCATTCTGAAAAAAGGAAAGCAATCGGAAAGGCCCCCTGGTCACAAGGCATTTTTATGTGTATGCTGACGATCAAGAACCCCTGTGGCTGCTGGACCTTTATTGTTGGATTTGATTCAATATATATCCCACCTTAACTCTCATGCCTCCTGTGTTCCCCACGAAGCAACCCTGGGGGTTCAGCAATGTTGGCCGGGTGGGGGCACGCGCACACGTGTGTATAAATACCGCTGGGTATGATTTATGCTCTGCCTTTCTACTCTGGCAAGCTTTCAAGGCAGCTGACAACAGTTTTAAAACAAAAGTAGATTGAATCAACACTAAAATACAAAGGATTCTAAAGCTGGAAGGGGACCTTGGGACCATCTAGTCCAACCCCGTGGTCAGAGCAGAAATCACCCCAGACAGATGGGTTGTGCAGCCTCTGCTGCAACAGAGGAAGGGGAGCCCGTTTTCCCTGTGAGGAAGTGCTTTCGAATCCTCAGCTGGATTCTGCTTTCCTGTAACTTGACTCCATTTCTCCATGTTCTGCTCTCTCTGCGTTCAGGTATTTGAACAGCCCCCCCCTCGCATGGCCGCCCTCAGTCACCTTTATTTCCTCATGCCCTTTCTCTGAACCTGTCCCAGCTTCTCTGAATTCTTCTTAAAGTGGGATGGGGCACTTAAGATGGCCTGCCTCTGGTTCCACTGGTAGAGTCAAGATCAGGTTGCCAGTCTCACTCCGAGCCTGTTTCCAGGCATTCCCAATGTATATAAAAAGCTTCACCTGGTTTAGGATACCTATGCATCTATCAATAAGTTCTGCTTTCTCCAGGGCAGGGACCCTATTGTGGAATGAACTGCCGCTGGAACTGAAGCTAACTTTATTCTCTAGTAACGCTTTAAGGTCTAATTGCAGTCTGCAGTTTGTACGGTATTTGTATTAGTTGCCCTGAGCTGTTAAGGGACTGGGTAGCAAACCAGTACCCTAAAATCAAGCTGTTAGTCTTGATCTCTATGTCTGCTTCCCCCTTTCATGCTCCCCATAAATGCAGCCATGCCACCCCAGATTTCCCCAAAGAACTGCCTTCCAGGAAGTCACCCACGAGCCCTTCAAGATGTACCTAGAACTCTACTCAGATCAGCACTTACAGCAAGTGGGTCTTGGCGACAAACTCCTTGGTAGTCTGGAAACTCCAGTTGATGAGGTGGATGTCCTGAGAGTGCAAGATGAGGTAGCGCAGGCTCTCCGTGGCTATACTGAGGTGGGGTGCCCGGCGCAGACTGTCCTGGTGCCAGGTGTAAACACCAACCACGGGCGATCCATAGTCCTGCATCCAGAGCACCTCTCCGCTCTCCTTGCCCACTGTCACCAGCCAGCCATCTCCGCTCGAGGCAAAATGGGCCACTTCTGTGCCAAGGGGGTGAAAAATGTGGGGTACTGGGCATGCAGCACAGGGAAACCTGAACTGGAAGGCCAGCCAAGCGCGGATACGCGAGGGTCAGGAGCACAGCTAAATCCTTGGAGTTGTTCTTGTCTTGGGTGAGGTGTTAACTTGGCAGGATCTATCAAGCACAGCAACCCTACGCTGAGTTTGGCAAGAGGAAGATCTTCAAGTTTTAGGAGATGTTGGCATATCAAAGATCACACATTTTTAGAAAGGCTGTGATAAGCTTACATCCCACAGACTGGCTGATGAAACCAACAGCTCTTGCAGGGAGAACCTAATCTTTAATAGCAGAACTGCACCCCCGAACTGGCACTAAGAAAGTGGGTGTGATCTCCCCAAAGCTATGGCTGCCATCAGCTGAACTTTTTCCCTGCAATGGTGTTTGGGGGGCAGCACATATTTTCCTTTCCAAGCGTTCAGCCACTTGCCATGACTGCTGACCCCTTATGGACATTCGTTTGATTTCTGCCAGTGCTCCTTCCGCTGCCAGCTGCCAGAGAAGGAAGAGGGAGCGGGGTGGGGAATCCCGGCTGCCAGCCCCGGTCTCCCCAGTTACTCACTGTAGTCATAGTTCTGGTCGTGGAAGGGAGCGGAGTAATCCAAGTACGTGGCGTTCCAGTGCAGCTCGCGGGACTTGGTGTCATACATGGTGATGACATACTCTGCAGACAGGAGCAAGGTTGATTTACCCACACACACCCCAAGCAGAGGAACAGCTGCAGTACATTTCAGGCTGGCATTTCTGCCTCTGAGCGTTCTCAGGGATGTGCAGAGACGCAGGCTCAAGGCATGCTTACGGCTGCGTCCGATGAACAGCAAGGGGCTTGTGGGGCACAGCCCATCCCAGGCCTCTGCGGACAGCACGCTCTGCTTCTCCCCTGATGCCGGATCCACAAGAAACCAGGCGTCTTCCTTTTTCCCTGGGAAATTGAGGAGGAACGCATGTATTCAGAGGCGCTGTATCACTTCAGGTGGAGACGGGCGGGTTCCAGCCCTCCTGATACATTTGCACTGCCTTTCCAAGCCGGGGATAACTCCTCTGGAGCCCCCTCACCTCTGCCTCCTCCTCCACTTTCCCCTTTTGTACCTGTGTAGATCACGCCATCAGAGCTTCGGCAAGGAGAAGATTGCACCAGCTCCGGAATGGTGAAAGGCAGCTTCTAACAGAAAAATAAAAGAGAGAAACACCCCATTTGGCACGGGGCCACACTTAACAAATGGGACTATAATCCTCGAGGCACCGAGGCACCGTCAGGTGGCAGCTGTTCCAGTGCTGCATTTTGGTGCAAGAAACTTGGAAGATGTATGAGTTCTGTGCCAGTAATTGTCATTGTGGTAGCAACGCAGATGCCCCTTGAATTACGCACTGGCCCCCGGAGTGTGAATACCCCCCCTGGCATGCTACAACCTTCAAGAAGTCCAGCCCTTCTGGAAGCCTCAGAGCAATAGCTTCATTTCATATCATCCATAAGCCCCCACAAGCGGAGCAGCCAATTATTATTCCCTTTTGCTTCATCATCCTGTCTTCTCTAAAATAAAGCTCACGACAATAAGAAGTAACCAGGAAACTCTGTGAGGTGTCTTTAATTGCCCAGGATCAACCCCTCCGGGCACATTCTAGATCACTCAAATCTTCTGAATTTCTTGCCCAAACCCGGTGGCCTCACCCTGGCCCCCGCGCTCTGCTTCTCCCTTCTTCCCGGCTTGCTGGACCCGGCTCTGCGTGGCCCCCAAGACTCGCCTGCCTTACCTCTCTTTCTGCCCTTAACTCCGGAGGGCGTTCTGGGCCAGAACCCTTTTCCCTGCAGAATTGCAGGCACCAGATGCCCCAGAGGGAGGAGCCCCCTCTGAGTCTCTGGACACGGCACCTCCTTCGGGCCAGAACTGTGTTCTTACAGGATCGGTTTCCCCATGTGGTGCTCCACAACCCAGGACTCTGAGGATTCAGGCTGCCCTCCCAGCTTTCCTTCCAGGCCCCCTCAGTCCCCCACCCCCAGGGAGTTGCCTAAGGCAGGGAAGGATCCCCAGGAAGTTTCCTCCCCCTTTGGCCCCCAGGGGTGAGACCCAGCCCAGGCCGACCTTCCTTCCCGCCTTGGCTCAGGCATGAAGAGCCCTGCCCCCCGCTTCTTGGTCACTTACCATCAGCCCCCCCTTGTCCTTGCCCCCCACCACATACAAGCTGCCATCGCTGGGGTCTGGGAGAAACGCTGGCCTGGACAGAGAAGATGAGACGGGCGCTGGCTGGCGCTGGAGAGCTCCTCCGGGCACCAGACAAAGGGCTGCTGGGCCGCCCGCGGAAAGCAGCCACCCCCTTCCCCCCCCCAGCCGCCTCCACCTCCTCCGGGGGGAAGGGCGTG